TCTGACTTTTTGGGTTCAGGGTTTAGGGTTGAGGGAGCAATGGCTGCATTCAGTGCTACCAAGGGGATAAGGTAGTTGCCCAGGTAGTTTCCCAAAATAAGGGACCCCAATATAGACAAGTACCCCTAATTTTGGGAAACTCCCAAAACCTCCAAGTAGCTCCTGGCTCACCCAAAGTGCACCCAAGCAGCCTTCGTGACAAAGCCGAAGCCACCTTTGCCCAAGAACCGTAGCTCCTCAAAGCAGGTCATGGTCAAGGGTTTAGGGTTTAGGGTTTAGGGTTTAGGGTTTAGGGTCAGCAGTACTCTGTCAATGTCTAGGTGAGCATTATTCTGGGTTGCTGTTAAGGAACTTAAATTAAGTTATTATAATGGTAACTTAATTTAAGTTCCTTAACAGCAACCCAGTATTCTGAAGTACTTCTAAAGGACCATAGGAAATTCCCACACTTTTCCCTACCCGGGTCCTGCTATCCCCTAGACCTTACAGAACAACTTATTGCTTATACTAGAATATTCTTGGACAATTGGTAATTTCCCAAAATGGGGGGACCCCAAATATAGACCTCAAAATACTATAATCCTTTTTCTGGAGGCCCCCAAAAAGGTACCCCCTAATTTTGGGAAACCCCAAAGTTTCCTATAAGAAGACTACAGGAGTTTCCTTGTGAAATACCGGCCTCGGGTCAAGCCGCTACTCAAGCCTATTCCCAGACCCCTGGGAGGATCTAGAAAGTAGAACCCCCAAGATGGTACCTATTCTTCTATTTTTCCCTATACTACTATTGCGTAATTTCCAGAAGCCCTTAAGAGGGTACTACTTTCTAGATCCGCCTAGGGGTCTGGGTTGGATGTAGCTTCGCCAAACTCCAACAACCCTTATGTACTTGAGGGAGAACTTAAACCCGAAGCCCTAAAACCTAAACTCCCTCCTCATCCCCTCAGTTAGATAGAATATGGCTTTGGGGATACTACAAAAAGATCCCCACATACCCCATATTCTATCTACTTAAGGGGGACTATAAACCCTCCCTAAATCTTAAACCCTAAACCCTTCAACAGCCTGCGTACCATTGCCAAAACTCATGGCCTCGAAATCCGTGGCATATCGGCCGACCGCCGCTAAGCTGTTGACCTACAAATCTGGGCTACTACAAAAGTTAGGGTTTAGGGTTTAGGCTTTAGGGTTACTGGAGGGTAGTAAGGAATAAGGGACAATATTATAGGATAGGGTTTAGGCTTCATGGTTAGTAGGGACGGACTAAGGGAATATGTCATACAGGGATGATAGAGGGATTATGTTCCCTTCTTCCCTAGAAACCACCATTAAGAGAAGCGTGTTGGGCTATCTTGTACAAATCGTAGGGTCACAGTACAGGGGGCAAATATTACATAGCATTCAGGCTCCTGAGCTAGGTCAGCTATAATCTAAACTCCTAGTATCCGCCTGAATCAGGCCCTCTAGTAGTCCCCTATATAATCCCCCATATAACCCTAAATCCTAAACCCTATATCTTCCCCTACAAATGAAACCTCCTTGAAGGAGTTAAGACTATAGCTCATGTGAGATGGCTGCCTTTTCAGGATTTGGTTGGTACTTTCCGGTCTTGGTTTGGGACGGGTCGGATGTGAAGAGTCTATAACAAGAGAGAAATGACTTTAAGGTTTGGGGTCTAGGGTTTAGGATTACAAGAAACGAATCATTCTATGGTTTAGGATCTAGGGCTAAAGATTTAGATTTCAGAGTTTAGGGATTTTTTCGCGCCTCTCCACACCTATTTATTGAGCCCTAAACCCGTATTTGCTAGCGTAAGCACACGCTAGGAGAGGCAAGTCCCTTGGGCAGTCCAAAAAATCTTCAGAACCTGTGCCCAAAGGGCATGCCCCTCTTAGAGTTTAGGGTTTAGGGTTTTTAGGGGTTAGGGTTTGGAGCTGTCTGCCCAAAGGACATGCCCCCCTTAGCTTATGCTTTTGAACTAGCAAAGGTGCGAAGGGGAGAGGGGGCTTAGGAATTCGGGAGACATGGGGATGGTCCGAATTGCATTGAGAAACTCCTATGACTTAGAAGCCTGAATAGTTTGGAATTGCTGGATTCTATCTCTTCATATTTCAACCTTACATCTATATGTACATAGCATCATGGAACCCCAAACACTCTTCAAATCATTTGGGCCCCTAATAAGCCTAAACCCTAAACCATGGCACAGATAGAGTCAACATGCATGGCCTGATTGAGGATGTGGGCAGGGAGGCTTCAATGCTTCCTACGGTGGATATGGAAAGAGGGTTTCAAATTTAGGGTTAAGGGTTCAGGGTTTATGGTTTAGTGCTTAGGGGTTTAAATCCTCCGTGGCCCCAAGTACCTTACACCCTGGGAATTCTGATGTTCTCGTCTAAGAAGGCCGTGCAGGGTTTTCAGCATCAACCGTATGTCGCAGTACTTGCAGGTTCATGGGACTTTTTGCCTATAACCTCACCTAAATGGGGTTTCCTAGCATAAGTCCAGTTCGAGGGACTGCGAGAAGGGTTATAAGCCCAACAAACAACTAGTTCCTACGTCCCATGAACCTTCAGCCTTGAATGCTAAACCCTAAACCCTAAATAGTAGTTTCCATTTTCTTTTCCATTATCCCTATATGATCCCTATATTACCCTATATAGCCCCCATATTAACCCTATATAATCCCTTTATATAACCCCTATATTATCCCTAAAGTTATTAGCCGTGCGAGATGGTCCCATAAGTGATGGATTGGCGTGCCAACCCCCTAGGGCTTAGGGTTTAGGGTTCAGGGCTTAGGGCTCAAGGTTTAGGGCTTAGGGTTTAGGGCTTCGGGTTCAGGGCTCAAGGTTTAGGGCTTAGGGTTTAGGATGCTACCTCCCCTAAGGTTGTCCCAGTATGAAGGTTAGTTAAGGATAAGTAAAGCTAATTAGGGGGTTCTAGGTGGTAAATTATGAGGTCTTTAGTGTTTAGGAGTTCAGGGCTTGTAAGATTATGGCCTTAATATAGAATACTAGATCCAAAAGCAGGAAATAATCTCACTCTATATTGGGTACCATAGTATCCGCAAATTAAATGCTGCTCAGATGTGGATGAACCTCAAACCCATTGCGGCCCCAAATATGACGTGCAGAACATCTTTATCATCTTAGCTCCCGGCGGAATCGGATGCAGACCTTGAAAGAAGGCACACGGCTTAGGGTTTAATTAGGGGTTGTTGCGTCCCGAAATTCAGGACCATTAACATTGCTGATCTTCGTTGCTTTTGGAGGGCGCGTTATTGCTCGTGGGAAGCTTTGTAGGCCTGCTGCGATGCTTTCCAAACTCACGTCAAGTCACTCTTGCCTTAAGAGCATGGACCCGTGTTGAGCAGCTTACCATTTGGGAACTAAGCACCCAAACCTAAAGCTTTGGGCAAACAACCCATACCTGCAAGCGGATGTATGTCCTCACCTGCGCTTGCTTACCCCCTGATTTAAATCTCATTTGGGCAGCATAACCCTTTGCCGTCCCTGCCTTAAAGCCTCAAGCTTCCCATGACCTTCCCACTCCTGCCAGCAGCGTTTGCCTGTATGTGGTGCACGAAATCGTTGGTCCGCCCAGGAACGGAGCACCGCCAGGAGCGTGTAAATACACCAGAAACATAAGAGTGATGCATTAGTGCAAAAGCTGCTGCTGCTGCTACCGCTACTACTGCTACTGTTCCTACTACTCCCACTCCTCCTCCTCCTACCACAACCACCACCACCACGACCACCACCACCACTACCACCACCGCCACCACCACCACCACCACCACCACCACCACCACCACCACGACGACCACGACTACTACTACTACTA